CTAAGGATAGAGCCAGAAGCAATGGGTTTAAACTGCAGCAAGGGAGGTTTAGGTTGGACATTAGGAAAAAGTTCCTAACTGTCAGGGTGGTTAAACACTGGCACAAATTGCCTAGGGAGGTTGTGGAATCTCCATCTCTGGAGATATTTAAGAGTAGGTTAGATAAATGTCTATCAGGGATGGTCTAGACAGTATTTGGTCCTGCCATGAGAGCAGGGGACTGGACTCGATACCTCTCAAGGTCCCTTCCAGTCCTAGAATCTATGAATCATTCCAATATTTTTCTTCTAAAAAGTAGCATGCAAGATTCCACGGAGATTCATTCAGGCTGCATACACTTGCAAGGATGCTACCAGTTAAGTGATATGAAGAAGGCATTTATTTTGTGAGAGAAAAGCTAGCCAAGATGAAGCCCTCTCCTATTCCTAAACTCTGCTATTCCATGCTTTTTTTGCTTCCAGTTCCTGAACATCTGTAGCAGAGTGCTTGTGGTAATATTGGGGATCGTAAAATTTCAAAGACTAAAACTTCAGTTGAAATTTGTCATAAGTTACTATTAATTTTTACTGCATTAGTGTACTTGTAAGTTCTTTCTTGAGGATAAACAGCTTTAAAGCTATTCATTTAGTCACTTAATGTAATGTTTCATAACTACATTTGCCTTAATCACATATTTTCTGAATGTGCACATAACTGAACGTTATATAGGATTCCGGGAACTTTTAAATGACAATTCCCGAATTTGCTTGACACTTGTTTTCCTCTAGTCACTACAGATATGGAATGCCTGCAAAATTTAAAGCCTCTAAGAGTGGCTCAATATCATTTTATTTATTAACAAAATACAACTAAATTGTTTTCTCATGTTGACTCTTTAATGGAGCCTTGTCCTTCTGATAATCCATTTTATTGTCTCTAAAGCAGTCTTCCACAAAAACTATGGTTTTAAATTACATGATCTTATACTCTGCACTTCAATAGTAGCCTCTAACCATACTACTTTACAAATGTGAATTAAACCTTAGCCCCCTGGGATGTTATGCAAGTTTCCATATTTTACAGGTAAGGAAGAATGGATTAAGTGGTTTGCCCACAGTCACACAGGAAGTCTTTGGCAAAGCTGGGAATAAGATTAACTCCAGGGAAGAGTGAATATGAAACTCCTCAATTTATTGCTTTCAAATTATTTTGCATAGTTCCCCTTTTACATCAGAAGCTAGCTTCGATACAAGAATTAAGTTCTATTTATGTACGGAGTTTGTCTTCAGTGCTGTGTCCTCGTTTTTTCTTGATTAGTCTTCAACTGTTTTGCCAAGTTTTCAGTTTGCTTGTTTAGTTTTAGACTCTTATATTTAGGCGCTGCCAATATGTGAATTCCAAAGGTTGGGGACGTTGCTGTGCTATTGTGTTTCTACATAGGGTACAGGAGGTTTGTCTCAGGTCACTGGTTAACTGGCACAGCACAGTAGGTTGCGATTAGATGATGTTGTGGATTCATTACTAAAAATGTAGCAATCAGTCCTCTGCCATTTCTAACACTAGCCACATTGATATGAGAACAGTTCCAAATAAAGCATTCTGGCCCATCATCCAGATTCTGCATTTAATAGCTGAATAATTATGGATTTATCCAACCTGGTGAACAGGACAAATTTAAAAAAACCCTTGAAGGATATAATTACACATGTTAAGTAGTATTAGAAATCCATTTCTCAGTGTAGTCTTCCTTCTCGCCAAATATTCATGTCCTAAAACATGTAGGAGCATAGTTTGAATTAAGGGTCTTTTGAGGTCTCACAAAAGTAAAAAAAAAATTCAGAACTAAAACTGAAAATCTAGGTCATCATGTTGACCTAAATACATCTGCGTATTTCATAATACCACAGATCAGATCGGATTCAAATTTTTCTGAGCTCTGAATTTTGTTCTTTAGGATCCAAAAATAAGGTAAATAAAGGGCTCGTGTTTCCATTATATGGAAGTAATTACAGAATATAATTTTGCAAAAAGTGGCGTTACAGTACACATGAAATGTGTAATACCCCTTAGTTTAAAGCTCCAAGAACTTGGAAAAGATGTCTAGAGCAGTAAGAGTATGTTTACATAGCAAAGAAAAACCTGCAGCTGGCCTGTGCCAGCCGACTCAAGCTCATGGGGCTCGGGTTGTGCAGCTCTATCATTGCCTTGTAGACTTCCAGGCTCAGGCTGGATCCCGAGCTTTGGGAACCTCCCACCCTGCAGTGTTTAGAGCCCAAGCTCCAGCCCAAGCCTAGAAGTCTACACAGCAATAGAATCATAGGACTGGAAGGGACCTCAAGAGGTCTAGTCCAGTCCCCTGCACTCAAGACAGGACTATGTCTTATCTAGACCATCCCTGACAAGTGTCCCTGCTCTTAAAAATCTCCATTGATGGAGATTTCACAACCACCCTGGGCAATTTATTCCAGTGCTTAACTACCCTGACGGTTACAAAGTTTTCCTAATGTCCAACCTAAACTGCCCTTGTTGCAATTTAAGCCCATTGCTTCTTGTCCTATCCTCAGAGGTTAAAGAACAATTTTTCTCCTTCCTCCTCCTCCTTTTATATACTTAAACTGTTATGTCCTCCCAAGTCTTCTCTTCTGCAGACTACACAAAGCCCAACTTTTTCAATCTTCCCTCATAGGTCATGTTTTCTAGACCTTTAATAATTTTTGTTGCTCTTCTCTGAATTTTCTCCAATTTATCCACACCCTTCCTGAACTGTGGCGCCCAGAAGTGGACATAATACTCCAGTTGAAGCCTAATCAGCACGGAGTAGAGCAAAAGAATTACTTGCGTCTTGCTTACAACACTCCTGCTAATACATCCCAAAATGATGTTTGCCCCCCTCCCTTTTTTTTTTTTGCAACAGCTGTTGACTGTTGACTCATACAGTATTTAGTTTGTGACTCATTACGACCCCCAGATCCCTTTCCGCAGTACTCTTTCCTAGGCAGTCACTTCCCATTTTGTAAGTGTGCAACTGATTGTTCCTTCCTAAGTGAAGCACTTTGCATTTATCCTTATTAAATTTCACCCTAGTTATTTCAGACCATTTCTCCAGATCATTTTGAATTTTAATCCTAACCTCCAAAGGACTGGTTCTCAACTAGGGGTATGTAGAAGTCTTCCAGGGGGTGCATCACCTCATCTAGATATTTGCCTAGTTTTACAACAGGCTACATAAAAAGCACTATCCAAGTCAGCACAAACTAAAATTTCATACAGCCAATAACTTGTTTATACTGCTCTATATGCTATACACTGAAATGTAAATTCAATATTTATGTTCCAGTTGATTTATTTTATAATTATATGGTAAAAATGAGAAAGTAAGCAATTTTTCAGAAATAAACATACAAGTGTCACAGCATGGTATTTTGTAAGCAAGTAGTTTAAGTGAGGTATAACTTGGGGGTACAGAACTCCTGAAAGGGGTACAATAGTCTCAAAAGGTTGAGAGCCACTGCTCCAAAGCACTTGCAACCCCTCCCAGCTTGTCATCCGGAAACTTTATAAGTGCACTCACTCTGCCATTATCTAAATTACTGATGAATATATTGAACAGAACTGGACCCAGAACTGATCCCCGCGGGACCCCACTTGATATGCCCTTCCAGATTGACTATGAACTACTGATAACTACTCTCTGGGAACGATTTCCAACCAGTTATGCACCCACCTTAGAATAGCTCCATCTAGGCTGAATTTCTCTATAGTTTGTTTAGGAAACAGCCCCAAGACAAGTGAGGCTGAGCTGGCTGGCACGGGCCAGCCGCGAGTTTTTCTTTGCTGTATAGACATACTCTTAGTCTATAAATACAACATTGTTCTTAGAAAATGGCTGGAGTTTTAGCTGTGTGCCTATGTATAGAATTTTAAAAAAATGCAAAATAAAGGATGACTTGTCTGAAAAGTGCTTTGAAGTTTAAATTGATTGCAAGGCTAATCTCTACAGTTATAAAACCTTACCAGGTCTACCGCTTTAATAGTGATTTTAAAAGCAACTACATTTTCAACTTTCTTTACCAAAACAATTGCATTTCTAGACAAAATTACCTGGACCACGAATGTCTTATCCCCAAATCCTGGAGTCATTCCTAGAAGGCTCATATATGAAGCTTCGTTAATGAAGTTTTCAATTCCATGGAAGAGACCACGACCAGTGGCAGAGATACGTCCGTGGATACCACCTTGGCTGATAGGTTTACCAGTGACACAAGCATGGGCATTAATATCCTGCAAGACAGTTTAGAATTCTATAAATTGCACCAATCTTTCCAAGAAGAGGATCAGTCAAACAACAGCTGAGGTATAATGTATACGTGAGCTTCAAACACTTTAACAGATTTCTTTCCCTGATGTACTTACATTATAGCTTTTACTGACAGCAATAATGAAGATATGAATCACCTTTTTAAGCTTACCTCTCCAAACTCCCTTGCTCAGCTTACCATAAGCATCCTAGAAAAATTCTACCCTGCCGTACAATGCAGTGTAATTACATAACTACAGTACTTGAGATACTGTTCAATTTTCTGAAGTGTGATTTGCACAATTCAGCTCTATGCTTACATTAATTTACAGTGGTATGTTTATTTACAGTCATGTTGTAAGGATGAGGGGTCCAGATAGAAGCTGCCATCTGACTAGCCATAGAAAGGCAGTGAGTTACATGCCTTCTAGTGGTAAGTAATCACTCTACAATTGTGATAACCATCATTGTTCTTGACAAATTAATCCTTTAAAACAACAAAAAGCTTAGACATATCCTATGGGCAGTTTAAAGGTGATTAAACAGTTTTAGCTTTAAACAGTCACAACAGGAAACGTGAATATAATTATCTGAAAGCATGCAATACAGGTGTACTAACAACTTTAGAAATGAGTATACAATGATCTGGCTGAGATGCGATCATAAGAAATTTACCCCCCAAGTAACAGGTTTTACCCACATATGTTATGAACTAGTCTTTCCTACTATCTGAACAGAGGGGCCATAGTTGACCTCAAGAGGATAGCCTACAGTGCAAAGTCATGTGGAAAAATAGTAGATAAGTATCTTTTCCTACACGGAAATGCATTCACATGCCACCAAATCCCCATCTTTTATGCAGTCTTAAACTAAATAAAACTTCTATCTAGTTGCCTTACATGTGCTTGATACCCAAAATAAACCCTACTCCTTAAAACTCTGACAAAGATTAACATATAGGAGTCTCAGTATCCTTCATTTTCCAACAGTGAGGTCCATCTTATTAAAAACTTTATTCCAAAATCTAAATGCAAGTGTTTCCTTCAGAAAGTAGTCTGCTCCCTCTGGTGGTAAGTCAACTATAACCACTTACCAGAGATATGACCATCATGGCCAACTCAAAGTATTACCAGGTTTCCAATCAGTTACATTTTAAAAATCTAAACTCGTCACACAGAAGAAATAAGTAGTTTATGAGCATATAGTTGATGAACACAGCTTCTTTCCACAATTCCCTCCATCAGAGAGGCCAATGCCTTAGAAAATACAAGGGAATGGGGAAAGAAAGGAAAGAGTTGTACCAGCTCACTAATGTGAATTTCAGAGCCGAGAAGTTTAGTCATATTTCTTAATTCAGTGATCAAGAAACTTACCGTGGCTTTTCTGGACAAGTTAATATGGTACCCATTAAGACATAATTGGTTTGGCAGGAAAGGCCCACTATTCTTAAAGCCATCCACATTCAGATAGCAATGTTGTTTAAATCTCTGCTTCAATATTTAGTATCAGTAGAAACTGCTGAGTGAGATTCCTAAAGATTAAAATCATCATCATCATCATGTTCCTATTACGCCTCTGGTGTTTAGGGCAGTGACAAAGCTCCTCCACTTGGGTCTGTTTCTGGCAAGTCTTTCAATGGTTCCCCAGCTCTGCCCCAGGTTTTTCAGTTCGGTTTCCACAGCTCTTTGCCATGTTGTTTTCGGGAGACCTCGTTTTTGCTTGCCTTCAGGTGTCCATCTTATTGCTACTCTGGTGATGGAATCAGTTTCCATCTGAAGCACATGACCGATCCATCTCCAACGCCTCCTGCTAATGATGGTGCTCAGATCCTCTTGGCTGCACTGTGTCAATAGATCTTGGTTTGAGGCATTAAATGGACATTCTTCTCATCCCTTGAAGACCTGGACTTTGCAGATGATGTCGCTCTCTTATCACATACCCAACACCATATACAAGAAAAAACAACTCGACTCAACACATTCAGTCAGCAAACTGGATTGAAAATCAACCGCAATAAGAGATATCCTGACCTTTAATATTGCCTCACCATCACCAGTACGGATAGAGGATTACGTTCTCACCAATGAAGAAATATTCACATACTTGGGCAGCACCATTAGCCAGGATGGTGGAACAAGCCAGGACAACCGGAACAAAACCAAAGCCCGGAACACCTTCAGGAGCTTAAATACAGTCTGGAAATCATCAAAATACAACACCAAAACCAAACTCAAGATTTATCAGAGCTGCGTACTGTCAACACTACTTTATAGTATAGAATGCTGGGGAATGAGAAAGTATGACATGTCCAAACGGTCTTCATTCCATACAATCCGCCTCAGAAAAATCCTCCATATCTTTTGGCCCAGAACAATCTCAAATCAAGATCTACTGAAACAGTGCACCCAAAGATTAAAATAGCACTGTTTAATTAAACAAATGAGCACAAGAATTTTATGGTAAACTTCAGTTAGAGGAAAAAAGACCCACCATAAATAATTTTCAAGCTTTTTTTTACAAATATTTATTATTGGTCATGTCAAAACTTGGTTAGTGGCCCTGCCAGACATCCCAACTTAAATAAAAAGCCCTCCCTCCCTCTTAACCCTTCTCCCAAGCCTCTCCTGCCCTTGTGGCTCTTTCCTGTCAATTCTGAAGCAGGTTTCACTTTTCCCTATCCTCCACTTCTCTCAGCTGGCTTCTGCTTGCCAGGAAGAGGAAACCGAATCCTACTCACACAGCCCTGCAGATCCAAAGCAGCTGTGTATGTAGTCCATTGATTTGACGATGACGTTTTCATGCTCTCTCACTGTGGATTCTGGAGTGACTCTGAAGTCAAAAGCATGACGCGCATGCTCGTGAGCAGATTGGGCAGATAAAGTCATTGGTGAGCATCTTGGTAGCTATAGCGGTAGTATGACTCTTTTCCCTTGCAGCTAAAAATTGATTATATCTGTCCTGTTCAAAGACTTGAAAAGCTCGGAGTGTTGTGTGTTGCCATGCTGATCTATTTAACACAGCCTTCTCAAGATCATCCGGTTTTGTTGCACTGAAGTTTATGCTGTTCTTGATGCTGTCTTTGTAACGCTTTCTAATGTGGCCTTGATTCCGGTGTCCTTATGCCAATTCTCCATAGAAATTTTTTCTGGGGAGTAGATATTAAGGCATCCTAAAGAGGTGTCCAACCCAGCATAGTTGGGCTTTTATCAGCATGGCCTCAATGCTTACAGGATTTGACTTTTGGAGAACCTCCAGGTTGGTAATTTTGTCCTGCCAGAGGATCCCCATAATGGTGCGCAGAGACTACATATGGAAGGCCTCTAGCGGTTTGATATGCCATTTGTATGGTGTCCAGGTCTCACAGCCGTAGAAGAGAGATGTGAGCACAAAAGAATTAAAGTTTTATTTTTGTTGAGAGGGTTATGTTGTGGGATTTCAGGACTTTGTTACTTAACTTTCCTAGTGACTGAAGCTCTCTGTATCCTCTTCGTGATCTCTTTGTCAAGAGATCCATCATGGGAGATGTTGGTGCCAAGATAGGTAAAACTGTCAACTTGCTTTAGTTGGTTTCCATTTATGGATACGCTAGGGGATATGACACAGAGCAATGAACAGAATTGGTGCAACACCACAGTTTTCTCCAAGTTGATTGTGAGGCCAAACAATTTTGATGCTTCAGCAAAGCGATCTCCGATGCACTGGAGATCTCCCTCTGTGTGTACCAGGAGGGCACAATCATCTGCAAAAAGTGCTTCTCTTATTAATAGTTCTGTTACTTTTGTTTTTGCTTTTGCTTTAAGTCTTATAAGACTGAAGACTGAGCCATCGTGACTGTATCTGATGTATATGCCTCTGAGACCATCTGTAGCATGTTTGAGAACTTGGCTGAAGAAGAGGTTGAACAGTACAGGGGCAAGGACGCAGCCTTGTTTGACTCCAATTGAAATAGGAAAGGAGTCCGTGAGTTCGCCATTAAAAAGTACCTGACCTCGCATCCCCTCAAGAAATAAACAAATGATCTTTACACCAGTTTTGGTGGGCAACCAAGTTTGCTGAAGATCATCCATAATCCTTCTCTATTGACTATATCAAATGCTTTTGTCAGATTGATGAAAACACTGAACAGATTCATGTTTTGTTTGATACTTTTTTCTTGTATTTGCCTGATACTGAAAATCATGTCTGTGGTGCTATGAATCTGCAGTGAGTCTCGGGTAGATTGGCTTCTGAGACAGGTGAAATCAGTCAGGTTCAGGAGGACACAAACAAAGATTTTTCCAGCGACAGATTACCGTGGGCTCTCTCTCTTGTTATCACAGACGATTTTGCTGCCTTTATTTTTAAATAAAGACATAACTGTGGCATCTTTGAAGTCTTTTGACATTTCTTTACTGTCCCAGACGTCGGTAAGGATCTTTTGGAGTGTTACCACCACTTTTGGACCCGCAGATTTATATATTTCTGCCGGTAGCTACCAAGAGTAAAAAGTCGTATCTTTCAACTTTAGTGACCAAAACTTAATGCAAAGTATGTCTGAGTAAGAAGGTGCCATGCTTAGATCTACATTTTTTAGTTATTGGTTTTTGTTTTTAACTCTAAATTAATCTTACTAAAGTTTGTCTGTATATAGCTTACACCTCTGCAGAAACTGGCAAACCAAGTTGGGTTTATGGAGTGGGAAAAGGAAGCAAGGAAACTCTCAGTGCTGTAGAGTTTACTATTTTCCTGTGCAGTGGTTCAGCTCTTTTTGATAAATGTTTATTTTTTCATTTAAGAATTACAAAGAAGATCCTGCAAGAACCTTCCATAAATGGACAGATGATATTGAAAAGTACAGAGAAACTTAATTTTTACAGCACACAAGTCTTAAGTCATTGCCTTGAGTTCTCAGGAGTACATAACGGACAGATTGTTGGGTTATAATGAAATATGTATTTTTGTACTTTAAGAATGTTTTACTGTGCTGGCAGTATACTATTTATAGTGTCTAGCTTTTAGTTTCCTTGAGGACTTGGATTTTGTAATTTATGAGAGGGAAATATATTATCATTTAGCAACCTGAACTACTTTTTGAAGCCAAGTATTCTTCTGGATTTTATTATTTTTTACAAAGTAAGTTTCATGCGTGCAGTACAAGTACAGGAAGTTATTCATAACACTTATTTCCATAGCTAACTCAAACAGGCAGAGTGCTGTGTAAGAGCAATCTACTTGACTGATTTATGAAATTATTCAAAGTCTTTCCCCACAGGGTTGTTATTTTCCCCCATGAATAATTGACGATGCTTGAGAGACCTGGCCTGTTGGCTCTAGAATACCACACCCAATGTCAAAGATTACAACAACAAGTTGTAAATGCTTTGCCAAGAGGCACATGGTCTCGGGAAAACACAGTCATCCCTTAAACATGCATTCTATGCCAGAGATGAACAAGCAATAACAGGTTTATAGCACTATGAATGAAAGTATGAAATCAAAAATGATAAGCTATGCCCTAAAGAACTATTTTAAATGACTGCAGAAACCAAGAAAGGAAGATTTTTCATTCAGAAGTAGCAGAGGTTGAGTTAGTTATGAGATAGCACATTAAGCATTCTTTTCTATAGCTTCAAAGAGTATATTAGTATACTCAGCACATCAGTGAAATTGTAAACCTGTATAAAATCTTTGAGATCCAGTGATGCATCATCGAGGGGAAACTCAAGAGCTCAGAGGACACAAACAGTACAGCCTTTTAAAAACCAGGCCAGGGATCGGCAACGTTTGGCACGTGGGCCGCCAGGGTTAGCCTCCTGGTGGGCCGTGCCGGTTTGTTTACCTGCCGCGTCTGCAGATTCAGCTGATCGCGGCTCCCACTGGCTGTGGTTCGCCACTGCAGGCCAATGGGGGCTGCGGGAAGCTGTGGCCAGCACATCCCTCATCCTGTGCCGCTTCCCACAGCCCCCATTGGCCTAGAGTGGCGAACCGCAGCCAGTGGGAGCAGTGATCAGCCGAACCCGCGAACGCAGCAAGTAAACAAACCGGCCCAGCCCGCCAGGGGGCTTACCCTGACAGGCCGCATGCCAAACATTGCCGATCCCTGAACTAGACCAATACAGCAGAACCTCAATGATACGAACACCAGAGTTACCAACTGACCAGTCAACCACACACCTCATTTGGAATTGGAAGTATGCAATCAGGCAGCAGCAGAGACCGCCCCCCCCCCCCAATCCAATCAAACAAAGCATACACAGGACAGTACTGTGTTAAACAGAAATGAATAAAAAATAAAGAGAAATCATATTTTTCTCTACATAGTAAAGTTTCAAAGCTGTTTTAAATCAATGTTTAGTTGTAAACTTTTGAAAGAACTACCATAATATTTTGTTCAGAGTTATGAACATTTGAGAGTTACAAACAACCTCAATTCCTGAGGTGTTCATAATTCTGAGGTTCTACTTTATTTTTTTTGTTTTTGTTTGGCTGGACTGTTTAAAGGACACACTTAAAAGAGCCACCAATAAGTATCTTATACACACTCTGGTGCTGAAACATCAGAAAAAAATTAATTTGAGTACTTGTCTAACCAACAATTATGTTTTCAGACAGTCAGAGCTAATAGCTAAAAAAAATCTAACTATTGACTATGCAGGGACAAAGCAGCCTTGCACAATCATAAGCAGATCATCATCATCATTAAGGGTGCAATTTAGTCACGGAACCTGTGACTTCCAAAGACCTCTGATTTCAGCCAGCGCTGGCTGGAAGCTGCAGGGAGTTGGGGAGTAGCCCCACCGCTTCTGGCCGCCAGGGGGGACCTCTGCCATCGCGGGCGGCAAGAGCGACCCTGGAGCTCCCAGCTGCTGTGAGAGGCAGGTGGGACCCCAGCAGATTGGAGCTTCCAGCCCCTCCTTCCCCGAGCTGCCCAGGCTACCCCATTTTGTCATGGATATTTTTAGTAAAAGTCAAGGACAGGTCACGGGATTCCGTGAATTTTTCATTATTGCCCATGACCTGTCTGACTTTTATTAAAAATATCAATGATAAAAACTTAGCCTTAATCATAACAACTGGAAGGCATAAAATTCAAGTTTTTCTGCTTTTGCTTTGTGGGTATCCAAACACAAATTGTTCTCTTGCTCTATTCTAGTTTTGAAATCTACATTAATTCTTTCCTTGGTAATCTGAAAACATCTTGATGCTTTTGTAGCACCTGTGGTAGATAGAGGATTAACTGTGTGTGATCAACAGGGTATTAACACAATACACACAATTCAACAGTCGCAGTATTTCTCCAGCTTGACAGTGTCACTTCAAGTGATGTCTCAAACACTCAGGCACTTTAACAATTAAGACTAGCCATTCATAATTGTCAATATATAGAGGAACAATTTCAGAGAAATCACTGCAATAACGGATGCAAAAACCTGAGATACTGTGCTTTAAAAACATTTGATAAATGGTAAAACTTCATTAAGACTTTAAAGAGCTAAATATATGGGCTTTGAACAGAAACACTATCTTTCTTCATTGTACAGAGATGGAGTATTGAATACAGTATTTAATTTAATACAGTATGTAACAAGTAGTGTTAAACTAAAACTAGTTTAGCTAAATAGTCAAAAAGGACTGAGTCTGATTTTAAAACGCACGCCAATTCTGAATTTTGTCCGTCATTAATCACCCACCTTATTGTGCTTTCATATTGTTCTAGAACATCGTAAAATACAATAACTCCTCACTTAACTTTGTTATGTTCTTGAAAAATGCAACTAAGCGAAACGATATTGAGCAAATCCAATTTCCCCATAAGAATTAATGTAAATAGAGAGGGGTTACGTTCCAGGTAAATTTTTTTCGCCAGACACAAGACATTATATACATATACAGTATATATTTTAAACAAGTGCTAATCAGAGGATTGTCTGGGGACCTGCTCATGAGCTCCCTGAGCTTGTCCTAAAACAACCGTGTTGATCACAGGTGGGATATTTCACAGAGAATCCCTTGCTGCTAAATGATGAACTAGCACTTGGCTGAGCCCTCAACACATTGTTGTTGAGAGTCTCACACTCTACAAGGCAGCACCAAGGAGAGACACAGTAGTTGCAGGGCAGCGGCTGCAAACACTTCCCTGGTGAAACTGAATGTAATGATGAACCCACGCTATCCCTCTGGAGCGCACCACTCCCTCCTCTGGATGGTGCATGCATGGCTGCACGGGGAGGGAGGGAGGGGGGGGATGTGTGTGCTCAACTCCCGGCTCTACCCCAGGCCTGCCCCCAACCCAGCCCTTCCCCTGAGCGCATCCTTGCTCCTGCCCCCCAGAGCTCCTGAACACCCACAAAACATCTGATTGCTGCGGGGGGAGGCACCGGGAGGGAAGGGGGAGGCTGCGCTTTGCGTCCTCCCTCCTCCTCTTCAGAGCCTCATGAACACCCGTGAAACAGCTGATTGCTGCGGATGGGAGGGGGGAGTTGCTGATCCGTGGGGTTGCCAGGGGCGGGAGGCGCTGGGGGGGAGGGACTGGAAGGGAGCTGATGGGAGGCTGCCGACCCACCCTGGTTCCAAGCCCCCCGGCCAAACAACGTTATAAGGCAACATTGTGCAACTTTAAATGAGTATGTTCTCTAATAGGTCAGGGATGTAATAACGAAACAATGTTAACCGGAACGACATTAAGCATGGTCAGAGTTACCAGGGGCTAACGACCGATCTCCCTGAAAACTTGTTTGCGGGTCTTTATTTTTAAATACTGCTGTGAAAAGAGGAGGACATTGGACCAACGGTTTAATGCAGTTTGAATATGACCATACTATTTGTTCCATTATATGCAACACATGAAAACATGTCAGATGACTGCTGAAGCTGCTTCTTTTTTGGAAATTGGTCATATCAACTAAACTTTTACATTGTGATGTCTGAAGAGGAAGTCTTCATACTCTTTTTGCATAAACATGACCTAAAACCCCATGATTAAAGTGCTATAGTTACATACACAATTAAATAAAATTAGAGGACTAGTCAACAAGGCAATAAATCTCTGGCATAATGTTGGCTGGGTTTCTGCAAAGAGCAAGGAAGCTCTTTTACTTTGAAGCATTTGCTCAGAACTTACATAGTGTCCTATGGTATTGGCGTAGGTATCTGCAATCCAGGACATCTCCCTCTCACCTGTACTCATATCGGGGGCAGGCACATCAATACCAGGCCCTATTAGCAAGAGTAAAAACAAGTATCAAGAGTAAATACAAATATTTATCTTCAAATTCTCTATCTCCTCTGCTTGGTGTGACAGCTGGGATTGGTTGAGATGACCTAATTTCATATTTAAACCTCAGTTATTCAAGGAAGAACAGACCATACTTTTAACAACTGTGGATTTTAGACACCATATCTTGTTTTAGTAACCTGGCAAAACCCCTTTAAGCTATTGAAATCATTGACTATCTGGTCCACATTTTATTTAATCAAAAATGTAGTTATTTTATCACTAACAAATTAAAAGTGTGTTTGTGCTTTTGCTTTATTTATCTAGTATATTTCATGTAGACCACAGTAGAAAGGAAGGAGAGAAAAAGCTACACATATACAACTTATACTTGGCATAACTACACTTGATTTTAAACGTAAAAGCCGTATACTTCAGTTTCATTCTTCTTTACATCAATGTTCTGAGTTTGGGTAAATTTTCTTGCTTGCAAATACTTGATAGGCTGTTCTAGATATTACTGTCTAGTTTATTGATACTCATTTCTTATTCATTATATCAGAGGTAACCACTTAAAAATGGAAGAGGCAAGGCATCTTTCATGAAGAACATTCCTGGAGGCATCTTCATGTACCACCCTACCAGTAATTTTATGTACTCTTCTGGGTAACTGCTTATGGACTGTGCTAAGCCAAACTATTTGAAATAAACAAGCTCTAGATATCCTTGGCAAGAATTTAAACAAACCAAGCCCCCTTTTAATTTTCCAAAATTTCAAACAAATTACACAGCATCTCATAAAAAAAATAAAAAAAATAAATCAATCAATAAAGACATTCTATCTAACCATTTCAATTGTCAATGCAGCTTAGCTACCACTACGTACAATACACAAATCATTTATCATTTTGATAAATATATTTGTATGGACACTGACAGACTCTCATGCATCCTAGAAAAAACATACTTCTGCCCATGTAGACAGCAATAAAATGGAAGATACATGAATATGCTTGTTGGGACATCTATTGGGACTTTGTTTTCTTAAGAGATCAGGAATGAAAGAAAAACCTTGCCTTATTCCTCTCCTGCTCCTATGAAACCAAGAGCTCTTTGCCTGCAAGTGTTCCACCATCAGTTCAACTGGGAACTCTCTTCAAGTAGATAGGCTTAGTTATTCAAAGAGATTGAATGAAATGGGTCACCTATAAATGTCCCCACACAGGCTATGGGTTCACTTCATTTCTTTTGAAACCATCTCTGTGGTTGCTATGGGTTGGATCTTTCATTTCCTTCCTCTGATATCAGTCAAAAGCCTTGATTTTGAGACTACAGGAAACACGGTACTAGTGAACAGTTCAATCTAAAAGACCATACATAACCAACCATATTTCAAGTGTGACAAATTATGTGTTCTGAGATAACCATAAAATAAGCATAGTGCTACACTTATCACCTAAACTATTTTAAACTTCCATAGAAAGTGTACTGCAACTTGAGAGTAAACAGGAAATTTAATTCTTTCTAAATGGCAATGTCATTACCTTAATATGTACAAGGCAGAGTTGGCATAAATCCTTTATTGCTAGGTACTCAGCAATTTGACATTAGCTGAAGCATGTTTGCATCACAGAGCTTACATCATACTAAAGATACCAAACACCTTCTTAAAAGCATAAATTCAAATAACGATGTGCATCAATCTCACATTAGACCAGAAGAGGTTAATAAAAGCCTGTAAGCTTAATTTGCCTTACCCTGCTACACCCACAGAAGATATCAAGCATGGAGGGAGAAGTTAAAAGGGCTGAACCCAGTTCAGTTGGGAGCTGACCACGAAGGAGAGCAGATGGCTGGCTATCAGAGAATTCTGCAGCGAGAGAACTGGATTTGGACTGTTGGGAGGCAGAGCCCCCCTGAAGGTAGGCCTGTAACAGGGATCTCAAGACAGTTGGGAAGGTAAATGGGAGCAAGTGAGTCCCCTCAGAATTCTCTATTCTGCAGAAGGGGCTGCAGGAAGAGTCCTGCAAGGTCATGGACTGCCCTGTCAGGGAACCAGAGAGAACTCCTACAGCAGAACCAGGTGGGTGGTAGAAAGCACTAAAAAGCTCTGCAGTGAGCCAATGAAAGAGGCTTAGAAACAGAGGCACTGATACACTGTGAACCCAGGAAGAGGCTATGGCCAAGACCCAAGACAGGGCAAGTAGGAAGTGGTGCAGGGATATAGCAAGGGATCTGTGTAGTCAGGCCCTGATTGCTTAAAAGAGTCCCTGCACCAGAATCCACTGGAGAGGGAGGGCCAGAGTTCCCCTACCCATTGAGGAAGGTGGAACAGAAACCCCTTTACCCCTGGTCAGGACTATTGAAAACCCCCGATATCCAGAGTAAAGATCAACAAGTCCTGAGTTGGACTGAAGGCCCAATGTGAGATTGATGAACTATTGTCTTACTCTGCACTATATCTGACCCCATCAGAGGCCAAGTCTCAAGAAGTGTAACACAACAGGGCTGGAGCAGCATGTTTACAGGATACTATCTAGTCTATATTGCTAACACACATGAAATTAGATTCCCAAGTTACAAGTTTACTAGTATCAGGGGCATAGCCACAGGTGAGCTGTGGCCTACCCTCTTAACATCCAGTCCCACCCAAATCTGAGCGAGGATGTAGTGCTGCCACAGCGGCCCGAAGCGTCACTTGGGCACCAGAAATTCAGGATGGAGCTATGCGCCCACCCTTCAGAAAGCTACGCTCCGGCAGCTCTGCCTTGCCATTTTCAGAGCTGCCTCACGCGTGTGCCCAGCTCGGCAGGTGAAGCCCTGTGTCAGGGGGCGCCAGAGCTAGAAAGAGGGCATGGCGTAGGGGGAGAAGCTGAGCTAGCACAGAGTCATTGCTCGTCCATCCAAAAGTCAGGGCCCATCCAAATTTCCACTCCTAGCTATGCCACTGACTAGTGTCACTGTACTTACATACCAATAAATCCCTTCTTTGCCAGCTCCATAGTAAATCTTCTTGTGATCTTTTCCAATTCATTATCCTATTAAGAAAATATAGGAGTCACCAGGATTTGGTATAAGTGTTAAAAGTCAACCTAAAATTTCCCACAAACATCATAATTTTTTTTTATTTTTTAAATAAAAAGCTGTTCATGCGTTTACACATTGATTTCCATAGTGTCTGCCTGGTAACTCCCTTGTTTTGTATGGTCAGTATAGTAGGTAAATAGCCTAGGGAGGTCTCATTTTCTTTATGTATATTTTCAATTATTCAAAAGAAATCATGAATGCATCAGGGAAACACAGGTAAGGACACTGTTTGGTCAAATATTTCAGTGTTAAAGAAAAAACTTGTAAAATAACCATTTTCCTAGCAAACAAATATAATATAAATTAGATGTATAGTAGATGACAGCAATCAGTCCTGATTATTGCATAATTAACGCAAAGTTTCAGTAATTCATACAAATATTAAGTTTATTTCAACTTTGACATTTCATGTAGTGGCTATTCTAGTTCTATAACATCTGATTACCGGAAAACATGGCTGCAATTGGCTCACTTTAAAAACTAGTATGCAAATCACCCACGTTATATAATACTTAAGACTTTAAAAATGTGTCAACCTCATTGCTAAAGAAAGTTTATGGTACACTAAGTGCAAAATTATTCTGAGAAAAAAGGTAATGTTTGGAATTAAGCTTTCTGCATGAATAGCATCATTTAAAAAAAAAATCTAGGCTGCAGACTAGTTGCATTGCCTTTAAATTTCAGGAAAAGACTTTGCAAATTAAATGATATAAGAGTACTTGACCTTTTACACAGGGAGTTCTTAAATATCAAATTGTTTTGGATACATCTTTGCCTGCCAGTTGTACACAGTGTATTCCTGGGGGAAATTCTGCACCAAAAAATTAAAAGTTCTGCTAAATTCTGAAACTTTATTGGTCAAAAAAACACAATATAATCACTCCAGTTTACATTATTTTGGTAATTTATTTGAAAATACCTGTCAACGTGTATGTCAACAATACACACAACAACAACAAAAGATTTCCCCAGGCACAGACAGTTAAAGAAACCCCTATGACAACCCAGTTCCAGTTGGGGGGCCCCCAGAGCTCCCTCTCCCCTTCCTCACCCCTCGAATCCAGGCACAGGGCATCCCCCTACCCCAGAGCCCTGCCCTAGGGCATCCCCTGGCCCAGACACCTACACACCTCCAGAGCCTTTACTCCCCCCAGCTTCTTTACTGTCCTGCCAGGGGAGGTGGTGTGGTGCAGCCCTGCCCTTCCTCACTCTTTGCCAGAGCTGGGTCTCCCGAGCCCTCTCCTGTCCCCGGGAGAATGAGGATCGGGCCTGGCAGCCAGAGTGTGCAGCCTCCATCCCCACTGGGCTGGGCATGCTGCTCATTGCCAGCAGGGCTCTGCAGAGTCCAGCAGCCCCTAGTGGCAGCCAGCAGCTCTGCAGCCCCAGTTCTGTGGGGGAAAACATGGAATTCTGTGAGAATTCTCCCAGGAGTAACACAGAGACTTCATTTAATCCAGGGGTGGGCAAACTTTTTGGCCCGAGAGCCACATCTGGGTGGGGAAATTGCATGCAGGACCATGAATAGGAAGGAAGAATCCCATGCACCGCTACAGGCTGGGGACCGACTGGCTAAGCAGCAGTTCTGCAGAAAAGGACCTGGGGATTACAGTGGACGAGAAGCTGGATGTTGCCAAGAAGGCCAACGGCATATTGGTCTGTATTAGTAGGAGCATTGCCAGCAGATCGAGGGAAGTGATTATTCCCCACTGGTGAGGCCACACCTGGAATACTGCGTCCAGTTTGGGGCCCCCCACTACAGAAAGGATGTGGACAAATTGGAGAGTCCAGCAGAAGGCAATGAAAATAATTAGGGGGCTGGGGCATATGACTTATGAGGAAAGGCTGAGGAAACTGGGGTTATTCAGTCTGCAGAAGAGAAGAGTGAGGGGGGATTTCATAGCAGCCTTCAACTACCTGAAAGGGGGTTCCAAAGAGGATGGAGCTCGGCTGTTCTCAGTGGTGGCAGATGACAGAACAAGCAGCAATGGTCTCAAGTTGCAGTGGGAGAGGTCTAGGTTGGATATTAGGAAACACTATTTCACTAGGAGCGGGGGTGAAGCACTGGAAAGGATTACTTAAGGAGGTGGTGGAATCTCCATCCTTCGAGGTTTTTAAGGCCCGCCTTGACAAAGCCGTGGCTCGGATGATTTAGTTGATGTTGGTTCTGCTTTGAGCAGGGGATTGGACTAGATGACCTCCAGAGATCTCTTCCAACCCAAATATTCTATGATTTTAGGATAATGTAGGGCTGGGGTAGGGGGTTGGGGTTCAGGAGGGAGTGCGGTGTGCAGGACGGGGCTCAGGGCAGGGGGTTGGGATGCAGGAGGGGGTTCAGGCTCTGGCCTGGTGCCGCTTACCTTGAGCGGCTCTGGGGTGGCATGGCGTGCAGGGGGCTAAGGCAGTCTCCCTGCCTGCCCTACCCCCATGCTACTCCTTGAAGTGGCCAGCACCACGTCCCTGCGACCTGGGGGAAGGGGAGGGCAGAGGGCTCTGTGTGCTGCCCTCGCCTGTGGGTACCTCCCCCGAAGCTTCTGTTGGCCATGGTTCCCCGTTCCTGGCCCATGGGAACTGCAGGGGGCGGTGCCTGCCATCGAGGCTAGCGCGCGGAGCCCTCTGCCCCGCCATGGGCCGCAGGGTCATGGTGCAGGCTGTTTCCAGGAGCGATGCGGGACCAGGGGAGGCAGGGAGCCTGCCTCAGTCCTGCTGTGCCATGGGGCTGGCAATCCCGCTGGCCGGATCCAAAGCCCTAACGGGCCAGATGTGGCCCGTGGGCCATAGTTTACCCACCCGATTTAATCTCTTCTAAGAAAGATATAGGTGGATTTCTACTGGGCTTTCAATGCTGTCCTACAAAAGAGCTTTCAAACTCTTCCCGTTTACACAATATATGTATATAATTTAGACTTACGGTATAGTTCTTGGTATTGATCTTAACACCAGCCTTTGCACCGCCAAATGGCACATCTGTAAAGGAAAAGAGTTTCATTTTTCAAGATAAAGGTAGAACAGAAGTGACAACATCTTTAAATTATGCAAAAAAGGGGGAGCTTCTATAAGTTTGTGTAAACATGCGTATTTGAAAGTTATACGTCACTAAACCCTCACTGTCAACTGCGAAGCTGACTCTGCCACATCCACAGCACAATTTCACTAATATGTTCACTAAAAATTTACATTCTGTTCATACAAGGGGCAGTCTTTTCAGATCAGTTTGAAGAGGGTCTTCTAAACTCAGGAAGGCTAAGATCTATTTAAATCTATTTCCTTCAAGTTTTGCTGTTTATTAAGGACACTTTTGTTAAAATACAATCTTAGACCTTCCTTACAGCCCCATCTACTCAATCATGAAATAAGTCCTTATGGTCAAGTGGGATGTTGCCATGTGGTACTAACATATTAAGCATGGGATAATTTTACTGAGAGATGAAGCACAGTAGAAGAGCTGAATGTAGAGAACAAAGTACTATTCAAAAACATGTAGCTTCAATAATAGCAAAGGAAATACAGCACTATAATTACTGGGTAAGCATTCAAAATCACTTGTTGCAGATTTTAATAGGTTAGATTTTAGTAAAAGGAGATTAGTATCTAAAAATAACAAAATTCAGTCCTTCAGCTATTTCACAGTGACTTAAATCAATGCTAATTCAAATAATTATAATCCGTACTTGACAAACTAGTATCACTTACCAACCACAGCACACTTGTATGTCATTAGAGAGGCCAAAGCTTTCACCTCATCCACGCTAACATCTGTGCTGTAACGAATACCTGAAAAACAAAGGAAAAACAAACAAGAAGAATGAAGTGAGTTTGCAATTAGTATTTGAAAATTGCAAACAGCAACTCTAGGACAGTGGTCTCCAAACTTTTTTGATCGTGCACCCCATCAGTAAAAAAATTGACCATGCACCCCCGCCACGCCGAAGCAACAACAAACAAAACAAACAAAAAAAGCTCCTCCTGCCGCGCGCCCCACTTTGGAGACCACTGCTCTAGGACACCAGCCCACTACATGCAAGTGGGCAATCTCTCTCTCAGCTTGTCAAGATTGAAGTAAGAGATGATGTACAACAGCCTCAAAATAACAAAAACAGTGTAGGAAATAAAATACAAATCATTAACTTCAAGTTAGTTTTTTCTGGTAGTTTTCAATAGTAGAAATGAAAGGGGCACTTAATGTACACCATATAGTTAACTTGGGACAAATGGTGTGCCATTAAACGAGGGGCAGTTGAGAGGTATTAAAGGAGAGGGACAGCTTTCCTGCAGTAAAGGTTTAAAACTTGACTGTTCTAAGTGCTCTAAAATACATAAAGTTAATCAGATTGCCTTGAAATTTGGTGTGTGTCATGGTGGTACAGGGTAGAGACAGTGTTCCAAGTGTGGGTCCATTTGACTACGAGGTTCTAGAAATACATCCCCCAGAAAGAGAACAGCTTTTCTTTACGTTGATGCATTCTGGCAACTTTTTTTTTTTTTGCGCTCACGGATAGATATCAACTTGCATAGGATACCACCAAAAGCTATTCTTTCCCCTATCATTAAATCCACAGACTGTTCTCATATCCCACCTCACAACTGAAAATACCTATGGGAAGATGACCTCAGTGCCCTGCTACTGACACAACCTACACAATTCTGTACTGTAATGATGAAGACTGGAACCTCAAGGTACACATCCACCTCTTTCCTTTGATAAAGCACACAGGGGAATCAGATCCAGATTTCATTGAATCATAATCACAACTCTACTATGCTCCTCAAACTAATCCCCAGATCTCCTCATCACAATCACAACTCTTCCCAAGCTGTTCCAACGTATTCCTTTACCACTCTGTACAGCTAGGACAGTGAATGTAGCTTGAGTGCCTGCAGATAACTCCCAATGGCTATTGCCAGCTTGGGGGGAGTGGCGGGGGGAGGGGGGGCACAGAACTAAGTACTCCGTACTTCCTGGTGTTCAGAAGCTTGAGTTTTGCTGAAATCAACATTCTGGAAGGACATGAGCTATCACTGGGCAACCTTAACTCTGCGTTAACAAAGCTTGCCATTTAAGAATCAGTAGCTTCTAGAATGAATCATTCAGCAACATAATGCTAAAGCTTGCCAGGATCCCTCTAACCCTAAGCGTTGCAAATCATTCACTTTATAGAAAATGAAGTGATTTGTCACTGGACATGGAGACTTTTACAATAAGAGAACTTGAATATGACCTTGCAGGTAGGGTAATGCAAAACAGCTTTTGTAAAATTTGAAGGGCTTGTAATATTTTGTATCTTTCTGACTTAGAGGCAGTTCAAAACAAACTGGAAGCTAATTTAACAAAGGTTGGGAGTATAAATTGTGTCTAAGAACTTTTATTTTTTTCTGATTACTGAAGCTGAAGACTGTGTCAAATGTCAGAAATTGGCTTTTAATTCTTTTTATATTTAATTTACATGGCAGCGTCATTCTGCCTTACCAAGTTACAGCTGCAAAGTAGGTAACTTTTTTTAGTCAACCCTAACTGGGTACATAAATAGAACTCTAGATGCTTAGACTTGCAGTTTAGAATGTGAACTTAGTGCCCACAAAAGCCAAGGGATAACAGCACAAGGTTGCAACCAAAAGTAGCTACTATGCAAGTTTCTCCCACAGCTCTACAGAGTCTAAATTCTAACCTACAATGATTCTCTACCCTAATCCTATGATTCTTGAGCATAGGCTGTAAATTGTGCCAAACTGGGGAGGGGGAGGGGGAAGGCTGTAGCAGGGACAGAGTGTACACTAGAAACTAGAACGACTCCACAGATTTCCTATTATCCAAAGAAGAGCACAAATCCAGGTCCTCAGACGTGAAAAGCATTATCCAAAGTAAACCCCTGAGCTCCTATGAAAGCCATTCCTGAATGCACTGGAAATGATCCCAAGTCTACAAAGAAACTGAGTGCAGCTCAAAAGTTTGCGGCCAAATTTCTGCCCTCCTATGTGAATATACTTTTCAATAAGTCTAACAAGAGTTATAGGGCTGAATGCTTCCCTCAGAACAGGCATATGATTTTAGTTTTTATCTGACAGTAAATGAAAAAAGACTGTTAGATTTTTCATTGCAAATTCATTACATAAATGGTTAGTGTTGAGACTAGAAATACCACAAACTGTTAGAGGAAATTTTAAGTTTTAAAAAAGGTGCAAAGCATTAGAATAGTAATGTTTAAACTCTGAAATGCAGTTTACATGTTCTCCCCAATCTTGCTCTGATAACTCAGAGGAAGCGGAATTCACTACCTTCCTGAAAATACTTCATCTGGAACGTATACTACATACGGCACAGCTTGTTCTGACTGAGAACAACATTCCATTTTTGTTCAGTTTTTCCTGACACACCCATCTTTCTAGGGCATGCTTGCCACTCAGTGTCAAACTAGAAGTGGCTGAAGCACCATCTACACTAAGTAGAAGCCAGCTTTTCTGTAACCAGGTTATGATATGCTTATTTGACTTAGTTACAGACTTCTGTCCACACAGCAGCTGTTTCAACTATATGTCAAACAACATTTCTACAGAGATGTAGACTACCAGTCCAAGTCCATTTTGCCATGCAGCAGAAGACCAACTTTGATGTAGTTTACAGACCCAGTCTCATACTAGTTTTTTGAAAGGATGTATCCAAAATTTGAAAAAAAAAGAGACATTCTATGCTTGCTGAACTTGCTGGACATTGATGCAATTATTTCTCAGTTTAAACAGGGTTTAAGCCAATATTTACCAGTGTCCTGTCCTAAACTAGTTTTTCCTGGGAAATTGCCAGCCCTTTGCTGGAGGATGCACAAAGATAAGACTTAATTTCTAGTATACTAAGGACTTCGGTGAAATCTAGTTTGACAACTTCCTAGTTTAGCAAAAGACTCAGTGCAAATTAGATTGGGAAACAGCATTGCTATGCATCTGGAAATCCCTTCTGCACTGTGTTCCCACTTCTGAAAACTTGTGCACATTTTTCACATTAGAATAAAGAACAAAGCTTGAAGCAATCCAATAGTTTATGGCACTCCAAAACATTTAAGAAACACCATAAAGACTATCACATACAAGCTGCACACCAAAATTAACATTTTAAAAATCCTAGCATGGCCCACACAATGTCTCTTGAACCAGTAACTTTTGAAGACAGTTAGACAAAGTTATCTTTTGTAATGAAAGCCTTAAGTTACAGCATGACTCACAACCATGGAAAATATTTTCCACTGGAAAAGACCCAGAAAGTCTTGTTTATAAGTGAAGGATTTTCTTTCCCCACCACACCCAAAAAAAGTTAAGCCAAGCCACAGTACAGTAAGTTATTAGTTTCTTGTTCCTTTTCTTTACATTGTTTAAATTGCTTCAAATTCCAACCTACTTTTCTATTTAATTGCTGAAGAAAAGGGAAAGATATTCATATTGCAGGGTCTCAGCTTTTAAACCCGGACACACACAATTTTCATTACTGGTCAGTAGTACATTAGAAGAAGAATAAAGGACTGATTCCCCCAACCTGTGACTATGATGTAGAGAGACAGGCCAGAGGCAAGCCAGTCAGCTGAATCACCTTTAGTCTGAATTGTTAGAGAGGTTAAAAATTAGATCATACCAGAAATATTTAACTGTATAATACATCAGGAAAAGCCCATACCAGTAGTAAAGATCATAAGTAGCATGTTGCCAAATACAATAATTCACTAAATATCACCTACCTCACCAGTCTGCCATTCTAGAATTTTTTTTTAGACAGAGGAATAGAATACAGGAGGTTTCAATAGTGCCAAGTACATTGATGCAATAAGTTAATTCCACCGGATAATGTGTAAAAGAGTACTATCACTACAGTTAACCATCTAAAGCAGGGGTGGGCAAACTACGGCCCACGGGCCAAAGCTGGCCCATCGGGGCTTTGGATCTGACCCGTGGGATTGCCACCCCTGTGGCGTCACGGGGCTAAGGCAGGGTCCCCTGCCTGCCCCAGCCCCATGCCGCTCCCGGAAGCGGCCGCTGGGGAGATGTCGGGGAGGCAGGGGGCCAGAGGGCTCTGTGCTGCCTTCACCTGCAGGCACCGCCCCCCACAGCTCCCATTGGCCAGGAACCCTCCTTCACCGTTTCCCGTTCCCGGCCAATGGGAGCTGCGGGGGGCAGTGCCTGCAGGCGAGGGCAGCGCGGAGCCCTCTGCCCCCTCCAGCACCCCCCAGGGGCTGCAGGGACGTGGCCCGTGGGCCTTAGCCCTGCTGCGCACCACTGCCACCCCAGAGCTGCTCAAAGTAAGTGGTGCTGGGCCAGAGCCCACACCCCGAAACCCCTCCTGCACCCCAACCCCCTGCCACACCCCTCCTGCACCCCAACCCCTTGCCCTGAGCCCCTTCCTGCACACCGCACCCCCTCCCACACCCAGCCCTGCATGCAATTTCCCCACCCAGATGTGGCCCTCGGGCCAAAAAGTTTGCCCACCCCTGATCTAAAACCACCAAAGTTGAATGCGTACTCAACAATTACCCCTCTAACATATAACAGGACAGAAGTTAAATAATTTTTGGATCGGAAAGAGTAAGTGGAGGCTTTTGTTTTTTTCCTCATGTATACAAGAAAGGAAGCCAAAGAAATCTTCTCTACTGGACATACTAAAGCCTAAATCAGATCACACTCTGGCAGATCCCTAGAACATACTTTTAATGTTTGACAAACTCAGATTTCAAAACAGACTTGCACATCTCTCTGTGTCCAAGTATCACCCTCTAAGGGTCATGGATGATATATTCACA